CCGTTTTTTTCAGGGCCCTGTGCGGAGTCAATAGCATCGACCACCGCAAGCGCGCCAGGAGCTGACATGCCGTCTTCATTCACAGTCTTCTCGGTAAAGCCACGTAAAATTTGACGTGCTCCCCATCCGAGCAGATATCCAGCAACTCCACACCAAGGCCCCAAAGTGCTCCATCAGCTGCCGCAACGTCCTCGACGGGATGGTCCAGTGGTTGCCCCGCTTCCTCCCGGCTGAACTTGGCATGCACGGGCACAGCCACCTCAAAGGGTAGCCGATGTGTTGACGCCAGCCCGTTGCGGAAGATGAGCTTAGCAACGAACCGGCTCACCTGCACGCCAGGCCCATCCTCGACCGACACCTCGCAGCGGTCAATGGCACCGTCCCGACCGTCGGGCCGGTCGGCGCCGCTGGCGATGCCGCGCTGCGGATCACCGGACGCGCGGCTGCGGAATATCGAGATGAGAGCTCGCGTGTAGAGCGTGCAGTAGAACTTATCGCGACCGTCGAAGGCGTACCGGGAGCAGAAACGGGCGGTGGAAAAGGTGAAGCAGGCGTATGCAGACTTTGAAGAATTCAGAGCCGTGAGGACGAATTTGTCCTTCTGCGCTTCGAAAGACACGTCATCGCTGAATTTGTTGAGGCAGATGAGAGCGTCGCGGAGGGCCGAAACGGCGTCCTCGCTGAGCGTGAACGCAAGGAGGGGCATGGCTGTGATGAGACGGCAGCGGTCAGGTTACATCGGGATCTCCGGTACCAATTCAGCTATCCGTTTCCCCGGCTCATCGTTTGCTGGGTAATGAAGAACAGAAGACCTCCAAGTACCATTGACGGCGTCGCAGTCAACCTCAAGTGGTGGTGATGCAAGACTCTGGATCCTGGGCGAGGCAGTCGCGACGCGTTCAATGACTAAGCCAAAAGCTTGCGCCTAACCACGACATGGACCGAGAACATGATGCTCACGAAGCGTTCATCAAGGTAGGTACAATACCTAGGTAAGTACACGTAGTGCTCCATTGGCGCTACCGAACAATGTCTGGGCACTGATTTCCAGATACTCGACAGTCGGCCGGCTACTCACTCTCCCGTTTGCTCCAATAACGGTGTTCTGTCGAATACGGCTTCAGATTCAGACGGGCCTGAGCACTCAGCAAAAATATGTACCAGTGCAAGGTCCCTGAGCAATGGTACTGCAACGCTCTGCATAACTGAATAAGCCACATCCATCAATTAGCACTAATTCCCGGGTGCAGCCAGACTTCTACATATTGGATCCCCACCAGCACCACGAGAAAATTCAAAAATGTCAAAAATGCGAAAACAAAAACATACAACATCAGGGATTCGCTGGTGGTCACCCACCCAACTACTAGTCCGACCCTTACTGGCTTATCTATGGGAGAGCGGACGGGATCCCGAGTTCTCCAGCAGGTATGGTCGTATGTGAGAGTCTGGAGGCATTCCAGCGTATATCATAGCTGTGCTGCTGTGAAGAATGTGACGTTCAGTGAGGATTCGGCTGAAAGGAATGAAGTCAATTGCAGTGCAGTGCACCCCCGCCCATGTGTGCTGACATAGCTCTTCTGACCCCGCCAAACTTCCCCGCGGCCAACTGATGCACGAAAGCCTCCGCGGGATACTCCCACGACATCCATCATTTTCGCCTTCTCTCACCACAAATCAATTCGTTATCGGCCACATGAAATCTTTTATACACAGAGACTGTCATTCCGGAAAGTGACATGAGTTCTACTCGTTCATATCGATCTCACTCTCAGCCGGCATGCACACAATGTCGCAGACGCAAGTCTCGATGTACTGTCAACAGCCGTTCCGCGGTATGTCTGATGTGTCAGGCCCACGCAACTGAATGCGACTTCCCCGCGGCTTCGAAAGGGCATGCGAAATCCACAACAAAGGTCAAACAGGGATCAAGACGATCTTTGCTATCAGCAAATCAAAATACTACGAGACTCAACAAAACTCCCCCAGAGCAGCAACTCAGTACGGGCATTGCGGCAGACTACTGTTCACCCGAAACGCGTCATACCGTTGTCTCAGGACCGACTCATGCGGACATCCCGATACCTCTCCATCAAGATGAGCTTGATGACAGTCCTCACATCGTTGGCCCGGCTGTCACCAGCGACAGTCACGTATTAGCTGATTACTTGAGTACGGTTCGTCATGGCTCGCGTTCAACGCCCATGGTTCGCCCCATGCTCGGCGGTGATGCTGAGCCGGTTATCTTCACCCGCGTTCAGCCTCGTCCATTGGGAATGACAGTTGACCCAACACCGCCTTCATTGCAACTCCAGATGCTTGAAAAGCTGCTTGAACCGTGGACTGACAGGCTAGTCGACTTGTCAGTGCTCATCTACCTCTTTCGGGGAGCAAAACTAGCTAACGTGTTTCTAGGTATCTGTCAAAAGCCAACGTCTGTTTTCCTCTACTAGACGAGGACTCTTTTCGTGACCAATACCGAAGCGCTAGAGACCGCATCTCTCCCGCCGTGCTAGCCTGCCTCTACGCCAACAGCCTGACGTATTGGAAGTTCGATCCAATACATTCGTCTGAGCGATGTCCTGACCAGCGCTTCGCCTGGAATCTGGCTTGCCAAGTTCTGTACTCCGAACTGCGTCACTCACCAGGCATATCTAGCATTGTCGCGAGCTTGCTCAACGTCGGAGGACGGCCCACTACTTCAATGCTCGGCAACGGTGTTCAACTTGGAGCAGCTATCTCACTAGCTCATTCTCTGGGTCTCAACCGGAATCCACTACCATGGCACATTCCGCAATCCGAAAAGTTTCTTCGGATGAAGATTTGGTGGTGCCTCTTGATTCATGACAGATGGTCAAGCTTAGCCTACGGTACCCCTCCGCGCCTACGTAGCGATCAGAGTGATGTTCCTTTGCCTATCGTTGAATATCTAAGCGCGAATGGCCAAACTTCAACAAAAGCTCAGGCTTCAGCTGTGTTTGTTGCCCTCGTAGGCCTGACTCAGCTGCTGGAGGTCTTCCTTGACAATGTTTACCGGATCAAACTCTCGCCCTCCGATCTTCCTGTGGATGACCTTGAAGCGCGGCTGGGTCATTGGGTAGACACTCTCAAAGGAGACACGAGGAAGGTTATTCTCCGAGGCACTCACTTGGACAGCCCTGGAGCCTCGAATCTGAGGCTGGCATATTTATCAACCAAGTTGCTTCTCCGACGCATTGAACTGAATCACGACAAGCAAGCAGCTGACGCTCAAGCACTGAAGATCGATCGTCGTTATTCAGAAGTCCGCCACACTGCTGAAGAAATCGTTTCTCTTGTGCAGGAGCTCGAGGACACCCAGCTCGGCGACTTTTGGTTGCCCGTCGCAGCTTTCACTTTCTCACATACTGTCACCTTTCTGATTCGCTGTGCTCTCGAAACGGAAGACGACCCCGTGAGCCTTTCTCAGAGTCCGTCCTTGCATCTGGCGAAAGAACTCTTGGATGCGCTTCGTCAGCATCAAGATCGTCATGGGTGGGATCTCGCTGATATCAGTCTTGCGCAGCACACGGAGGTTGTGGACAAGCTGTTGACACCTGATACCGGCTGACGATGTGCTGCCGAGCACGTTTCTCGAGACGCAGCAGCAGCTCATGCCAGAGTTTCCGTTCATGGAGGACATGTTCTCATACACAAACTTGGACTTCCTACAAAGCTAAATCGGAGCTCGGGCCACAAAGTTCGCAATCAATCACTTCTTCCCATCTAGCCCTCAGCGTTCGGCTAAGCAAAAAGAAAGTCAGTGAGCAGAAGAATTTTCCAAATTGACCGCGGTTTTGCACAGAAGCACTGGGGCCTACGTTAAGATGCTAAGGCATGCACGTGTTTCTGTTCGACCTTTGCAGAAACGAACGAACGTGCGCTAGGTGCCTTGGAGCTATCTAGAAGCCCTGGTAGGTGCTTCTATAAAAGAGGAATCATGTTCCTACTTACCCCTTCTAGATGCCAACTGTTCTAGTGCACCAAACAGCCTGGTCAGGCTCTTAAAAAAATTGCAACAGTGACGCATGAGACTTTTCCAGCATAAGGACTCTCTCACTGTCACAAATGCATTTCCACACGCTATCCTTGCCTTGGTTGGGTGCTTCGAGAAGCTGGGCAGTCGTATGTCTGCCTGTCCAATCAGGGAGAGCTCGCTTTTTCTTTCCCTTGAGCTCAGGGTTCCAGAGCTAACAAATTACAACTCTTCACCTGCCGCACGTAGATTCTAATGCAAAAGTCGGCCCTGAACACCACAATCGTGTACCTAGCTGCTGCAGGCACGCTATTAGGGATAAGACCACCTGTCATGCTGAAGTCGTAGCCTTTCCTGAATGCCTTCGGGGTTGGATCACGATGATAGCACTCTCATCCCAGCAGAGCGGACTAGTGATACCTGGCCCTGGGCCGGAACATTCTATCATTCAATGAGGGCAGTCATTTTGCGGTCAGTATTCGAAGCCTTCATCAGTTAGCTCAACATTTATTTCAGCACATACGACCATACCTACTGGAAAACTCGGGATCCCGTCCGCTCTCCCATAGATAAGCCAGTAAGGGTCGGACTAGTAGTTGGGTGGGTGACCACCAGCGAATCCCTGATGTTGTATGTTTTTGGATTTTGGATTTTTGGATTTTTGACTCTTGTTAGAGGCAATCCACCCAAGTTTTACCTTGTCATGCATGGTTCGAGGGGTTGATGTAAATCAAGCTGTACTCGTGGCGGCGACTAAGACCTCTGCGCGGAATCGGCATCTATGGCGTGATTGCATCTTATCTCGACGTAATCCACCGACTGAGTTATTATAAAGCTCACAATACTAGATAGGATGAGATCCTAGGCTCGAACGGATGAATGCTGCTCTGATCTGTATGTCAATAGGCATAACGTTGACCAACCATGAGAATCCGAGATTTCCTTGTTGTGACAGCAGCCCTGACGCCTAGTGTGTCTGCGGATTGGCAGTTTCGATCACGACCAGACCTCACCCCACCTCGTCTCAACATCACCGTCTCAGCAGCTCCTGCCCTTGTCGAGAAGGGCCTCATCTTTGTTGCGCCATATCCAGGCTTCACGCCGACCAGCCATGGCCCCATTCAACCGGCACCGTACATTTTTCGCGACGACGGGGAGCTCGTGTGGTCAGGCATTGGACACATTGCCGGCTGGGCCGCGAACTTTCGTCCCGACACGGTGGATGGGTCCACGGTGCTTCGCGCGTTTCAAGGGCAAATGTCGGCCCAGCTTGGCATCATGCATGGCCATCACCTCATTCTGAACGAAAAGTATGAGACCGTCAAATCGGTGCAGTCCAGATCACCCCAGCTGGTTTCTGGACACGAATTCCGTATCATCAATGGCAAATCTGCTTTGGTGGAGGTGCCTTTCACCAAACCTTTCAATCTTTCTCGCTGGGGTGGGAAAGAGGGCCAAGACTGGATCGTGTCTTCTGGATTCCAAGGCAGGCTCTTGTCACTTCGAACGAGGATGATAATATGCTGACTGGAAGAACACAGAGCTGGATATTGAGACAGGTCAGGTGCTCTTTGAATGGGAAGCCCTCGACCATGTGGACCCTAAGTGTTCGTGTCATGAGTCTGCTGTCAAATCCAGTATCTTCCACTGACATCGATTCAAGACAGCGCCTTCCCTTTAGACCACTTGGACAGGGCTATTGGAAGTGGTCGCAGTTCATTCGATGCCTGGGACTATTTCCACCTCAACAGTGTCGACAAGGACGACGAAGGAAACTACCTCGTCTCAGCACGCAACTATGCAGCTCTTTTCAAGGTCAGTGGTGCTACCGGCAAAGTCATCTGGCAACTTGGCGGCCTGCACGGCAGCTCATCTTTCGACGTTGACCCTGCCGCTCGCTTCGCCTATCAGCATGACGCCAGATTCTTGAATCGATCCTCTGATGGGGCAATTGAATATCTTTCTCTCTTCGACAACTCGGCCCACTCACCGACAATCAAGATCAACCCCTTCTCACGGGGCCGCATCCTGCAGCTCAACCACACAGAAGGGACTGTCAAGGCAGCAGCTACGTATCCGGCACCAGACCAACTTTCGGCTCAGACGCAGGGCAACACGCAAGTCTTGCCCAACAGCAACGTTTTCGTCAACTGGGGGCAGGCAGGTGCTATCACAGAGTTTGCTGCTGATGGGACCGTTCTGTTCCATGCGTACCTCGATTCAGAGCCCGGGGGTAACAGCGTGCAAAGCTACCGTGGTTACAAGCTTCCTTGGACCGGGAGGCCTATCGAAGAACCAGCAGTTGTAGCCCTGGGAAGCGAGGCTTCCGACGACGTGGATATCTATGTTTCCTGGAATGGTGACACTCAGACTACACTTTGGCGTTTTTATGCAGAGGAGCTCAGGGGAGACGTTACGCGTAAGCGCTTCTTGGGAGACTCCAACCGTCACGGATTCGAGACGCACATCAAGGTGAAGACGTTCTCTTCAGGAGAAGACTACAGGATCGTTGCCGAGGCCGTTGACGAGAACGAACATGTCCTGGCACGCAGCCGGGCCTGTTACTGTTACATTAGGAAGCGGCCGCTGTCAGAAAAACAGTCGAGCCAAGCATTCCCGGTGACTGAAGAACTATGATCAATCTCCGACTGATTGCGCTGCTTCCTGG